TAATTCTCGTTAACCTGTATTTCGGTAATGTACCTTGGATACGTTACCATCGATATTCTATACCAGAAAACCATTTCTCGAAAAGCGTCCAGACTGATTTTTTGCTGTCTAAATAAATGTTCGTTGTTTTAAATGTTTTTCTTTGTTTTAAGTTATTCGTCTAAATTGTCAACAGCAACAATAAGCGACTGTTATTAACGGGTATCATTATTGTGTTCACGGACTTTACGTTCACGATCTGTCTCATAGAGTTTGTCGCCATAAGCTTTCGTATCTCTTAGTTCGTCGCACTATCGGTGTCAGGGTCATCTAATTGGGTGCTTGCAGTTCTTTGGGTACCACTCCATTTTCTGCTGAATTGCGTCGATTATCCTTCAGTCGTGCGATATAGTCCGCTGTAGGCCGACTTGAGCTGTACGCCGAGGATTGGGGGGAGGGGCGTCATTTCTGTTTGCGCTTTCCATTCGACCTTCGCCGAAAACGGTTTTTTCTGTTGTCGACGCTTGTCCTTGCGTCTTCTCAGTGATCTTCTAAACAATAATACGCTCAAGCTTATAAATAATTATGAATTCGACAAGCAGGGCATATGAATCTTTGACTGTCGTCGTGAAAGCTTAGTTGTTGCACGGTTTAAGCAAGAAATCTCTATGAAGCAGTAAGCTGGCTGCTGAATAGAAAATCTCGTGAACTGTACAACAGATATCGTGGAAAATTTTAATTTTTCTCTTATATTTATGACTAATAGCTTTCACTCTAGATATTAGTTCATAATCGCGTTTCGTTTGCCTGTAATGCAGAAATATGTGTATGGAGATGATGCCGAAGAAAAACGTTAAACGAAAATTAAGGATCGGTTCTAACCATGCTGGTTAGAAAGTTAAAAACTTGTCTCAACCACTCTTATCCTTTAAACTGCAGTTTTGTAAGGTTTGAGTCGCAACACGGCTTGAGGTTCATCAAAATAGCAATTGGCTATCGGGCGGGTAGTACGCAACGATTTACACAAGCCGGTTGCGATTACCGTCGTATGAAGTTGAAAGCCGCCCGCCGCCGCCAAAGGCAGTAATGCGGCATTGTTAAAGGCGAAACGTCAGCATTTTAATCTCGACGTACGAATTGGTGCTTCCTCTAGCTGGCGAATAGGCACAAGGAATGACGCTAATTAAGCGTTAATTAAAACGCGGGGACATCGATAATGAATCCAGAATTTAATGCAGTTTGGAGTTCGTTGTGCATTTTATAGCCTACCGCACAGTTGTCGTTTCTAGGTGCCTCCGCCGCCGCCGACATCACTGAATTTGGCAATGAGGCGCTGCCGGAGCCGGCTGAAATCAGATGCCCTCCTGACTCGTTTCAAGGCAGCAAGGCCAGCTCAAGAAACCCGTCGCCACCTCCGGCATCGTCGATGAACAGGTGATACAGCGGCATAGTGATGTCACATCCTAATGTTCATGTTTATATTTAATATTATTTTTTAAGGTATTCTAGCAGCGTTGCCGACTCGATATCTGATTTTCCAAGAGAGGGTAGTGAGGAAGCGCCGGTCGGATACGCGCAATGCGAGAGCGGCGAGATTTCGCCGTACTCTGAACGCGCCACGCCGACGTACATGAAGTGGGCTGTGGATCTTCAGTACATACTTGAGGACTTCGAAGGTAAAGTAAACTGACGAAGAGGACTAGCTGTAAATTTGAGTGTTTGTCGATTGACCATTCACCGACTGTTTGTATAAGGAACTATCTTTAATTGACTCGCGATGAGAACGGTTTTTGGTGCGGGATCAAAATTTTGCCTGATGTTACTAGCCTTTATCACTGCAAACCTTACAAAGGTAGAATAGTGATAGATTGAAATCAAGAATCTTTCTTACGGTAGGCGTGAAATCGTTTTCTCCGCCCAGCAGTACTATGTACAATGTTTCCCGTCACGATTGATCCTTCTTCTGAGGCTATAGTAATTGCAGTGCAACATGTTAATGCGAACCAAGTGGATAAATGTTATGAGTGAAGCTGTAGGTACGTATTTCGACTTAATTCGGTTGCGCAAAAATTTTACATTCCAAAGTTTGCTATTCTGTGTTCTGAAACAGCGTCGACCATGCAGAGATGAAGTTTTCATTCTGTAGAGAAGGCGGAACTAAAGACCCCTGACTAGACATCCTTCTGATCTGGTATACGAACATAATGTTCTACTGGTGATTGTCTCTGTAAGCACACAGCGAAGAAAGCCGATTTCTTCCGTAACGCCGGGAAGTCAAAAGTTATGACAAACATTGCAAATGAAGGTGATCTACAAGTGAAGGTGAATATGCAGATTTAGCGCTTTGGAGGTTTACCAGTATAAGAATCTCAGCTCAATCATTTTCAGCGATGACACTATCTCCCAGAGTTAAATGGGAGGATCGCTGTAATCTCTGGTGTTTTTAGAAACCTGTCGAAAATTTAACTTCAAATACGAGTACGTAGTTGTTCAGGTTTCTGATTATGTGCCCATAATTATATACATGCTTGTTTGAATCATTCACGGTTCGGGCATCAAATGCAGCAGATGATAAAGCCGTTTATTGCCAACGCGTTTGATTGCACGACCTCAGCTTCATCAGGAGTGGGCTGTATACAGTTGAAAGATTGAAGGTACTTATATCCAGCAAGCGAATAATACCAGTTTTTCAGCTGGCTCATCCTATACAATCGAAACGTTGTTAAACTCTCTGAACAGAGTATAATATTCACGTCAAAATAAAACGGACTTTTGTCATTTTCACATAATTTTGCTTATCAGTTCTGTGATTGAGCCCCAGCCTTCACTGATAACAGCAGAAGATGTGTATTCATTACACATCCGGTTTTTTGTTGCCAGTATATGCAAGGACTCCTTTATCGGCAGACCTAATTTAGATTGGTCTTTGTCTATGACAGACACATTAGTCTGATTGAAAGAATGTTCGTCAGTAATCGCATGCTGGGCAACATCAGAAATGTCTGCCTGCCAAAGGCGGATGGCAGCAAGGTGCATTTTTGTACTTTCAGTGTCACAGCCTAGTGGTGACCTTCAGCAACGTTACGTCTACCGAAACTAAAACAAACGTATTTGTGCTGGGTCCCCGATTCAGCATCATCAGTCCTACTGATTCCATCTCTGACATTGTGGTGATGTAGAGAAAGGATTTGTTCACTCCGGTGAAAGGCTGAAGAATCTCGAAGAAGAGATCATTTCTATCGTTGGCTTTATTATCCACAACAACATCTATAAATCTCGTCGTAACTTGGCTGCCTGCCATGCTTTGGCAGTGAAAGGACTGAAGAAAAAGGTAGGAATGACAACATAATGGTATTCTACGTTGACAAAGGAGCGGAAACACTGAAGATGACTAGCAATAAATACGAAGCTAGAATGTTGGATCAATTCAGGAACAGCGATATGTGCACCGTACTCCAAAGTAATGACAACCCTGACACGGCAAAGCGCCAGAAACTGTTGAGGTTCTAAGGAATTTGCAAAATAGGAAGGTCGTTACACAATAAAGTGTACAACGGATCCTGCTTAACGTTAATTCCTGTTTAACCTTAAGACGTTTTGAA